AACTTGATTCTGTGCTCTTAAGTTTTAAAAATCTCATTTTTATCCTCCTTTATTTGGGTGTTCAATCCGGACGTGTTTTCGGAAAGATTTTATGTAGAAAGTTGATGAAAATAATAATTTTTGCCTTAAAAGTTGACTTAGTTGACTTAGGTCAATGTTTTGAGTAAATGGACCCGGACCCATATTTAGACGGTCCTAATAAGTCTATAATAAAATATGGGACCTGGGCGTATGCCCGAAATCGAATTCCGAGCTCCCTAGCTCAAGAATTTTTGTTAAAAATTGAAAGACTAAAAATCTAATGGTTTTAAAAATTTGGTTAATATTTGATCTCGTTGGTATCAGTTCCATATTTTAGTTCTGGAGCCCGGTACAGGTTCATTATGATATTTAATACTAGTCTGTAAAATTTGATAAGAAACAGAGTTTGTTTGACGTGATTCGGACGTCCGGTTGTGAAAATAGAGATTTTAAAACTTTCTTGAAAATTTCATTCAATTGGGTGCTAAATTCGTAGTTCTAGGTGTTATTTGGCGATTTGATCGTGCGAGCAAGTTCTATGATATTTTAGGACTTGTGCACATATTTGGTTTAGAACCCCGAGGGCTCGGATGAGTTTCAGATAGGCTACGAGATGTTTTGAACTTAGAAAATCTGGTATTTTTGTTGCGGTAGCTTTTCTGGTGTGTCCTTCTTCGCGTTCACTTAGATACTCTTGCGAACGTAAAGGGTAGGCTGGTCAGGGTGATTTTTCGTCTTTGCGAACGTGAATGTCTGGTCGCGAATGCAGAGTGATGGGGGTTTTACCCTTCGCAAACGCGACCGGCTCATTGCGAACACGAAGCATTTGGGACCTGGGGGAGGGGTCAGACTTTCCTTCTACACGAACGCGAGCATGGGCTCGTAAACGCGATGGAGGTTTCACAATCGCGTAAGCCTAGCAAAGCAGCTCTTCGCGAACGCGATGAACACTGTCGCCCAGTTCATAAAACAGTCCCAAAACTGGACTTAAGCCATTCTTTCAAATTTTCAAAAGCTAGAAGACTTAGGGGCGATTTTCAAAAGATAAATTTTTTCCCCAAAGTGTTGGTAAGTGATTCTAAAGCACTTTCTTTTAATTACCCATTGTATTTAATAAAATTTCAACCTAAAATCTAGAGTGTTCATAGTACAATTGGGGTTTTTTGGTAGAAACTAGGGATTTGGGAAATTGGGGATTTAGACCTCAAATTGAGGTCGGATTCCAAAACCAATTATATATCCGGACTTGGATGTGAATGGGTAAATGGATTTTGATCCGAACCTCGGGTTTTGACCAAGCGGGCCCAGGGTTGATTTTTGACTTTTTGGGAAAATTTGGGTAATCTAAATTTTTGCATTGTAGTTGACTCCTTTAGCAATAATTAATGTTATTGAGTGAATTGTGACTAGATACGAGTGATTCGGAGGTGGATACTAGAGGAAAAGCGGTAATTGAGCATTCAGTGGCTCGCGGAGCGAGGTAAGTATCGTGTCTAACTTTTACTCGAGGGATTAGAAACTCTTGACTTATTTGCTATGTGAAATCCATGTGAGCGGCGTATAGGTGAGGTGACGAGTACCTATACACCGCCAATTTATCTGTTTTACCTTTTTCCTTCCCGTTCTTCTTATATTGTCTTTTCCTGCCTTAACCCCTACATGCTTTACTTGTATTTCTATGCCTAATTGTTATTTGTTAGACATTGTTTCTCTTTGTTGAAAGTATTAGTTCGTTCGTAGCTTCGTTATCTCCTATTATTTGTTTAAGTTGTTGTCAGTACTTTCAAGGCATATTTTCTGGATTGGTCTCGCTGTGTAGCATTATTCATGCAGATTATATATTGATTGAGGTTTCTTTTTCTTGGTAATTATTTATCGTAAAGGCCTTGTGATTTAGCATGTTGATTTAACTGTGTACATTTAGTGTTTGGTTCTGATCAGGTGGGATCGGGCTGCACGCTGCAGCAGGTGTAATAGGGGAGGATTGATATGGTGGAATAAGAGTGAATATATATATACACACACACATACACACGGTAGGATCGGGTTGCACGCTGCAACAGGTGTAATAAGGGTGGATTGAAATGGTGAAATAAGGGTGAAATTACGATATTGATATTGATATATGGTGGGATCGGTTGCGCGCCGCAATAAATATATTATTTACTGTTGTTGATATTCTTATGGTGGAATAAGGGAGGACTATGTGTTGTCTGGTGGGGTCGGGTTGCGCGCCGCAACAACCTATTTGTTTTTATTTTTTGAAATGCATTATTTTTTCGATATTTTGTTTGAACTGATAAAAATTGGTAAATTCTAGACGACACTGGTTTGTTTTCGAGGTTGTGGTTATTATTTCCTGTTGGCTGTTTAATTTTGTACTGTATTTCAATTATTTTGTCTTTATTTTATACTGCGTACAGGTTTTAGTGTAGGTAACCCGCCTTAGCCTCGTCACTACTTCGTCGAGGTTAGACTCGACACTTACCAATACATGGGGTCAGTTGTACTGATATTACACTCTGCACACAGTGTATATTTTGGAGTCGGTCCCAGCGGTAGATATTAGCATGCTCGGATTGGTCATTGTTGGAGACTTGAGGTACGACTGTTCAGCGCCCGCAGCTCTTGGAGTCCCCATCCTCTTTTCTTTTTAGCTGTATAACTTCATTCAAACAACTTGTACTTATTTCAGGCTCTTATGTGTATTACTTTAGAAGCTCGTGCACTTGTGGCACTAGGTTGAGGGAATTGTAATAGACGTTTGGTTGTTTAACTTCCGAATTTATACTTAGAACATACCTGTTATTTCAGTTTGTTATTAATCTATCACTTAAACTGTTAAAAGAAGTAAATTGTTCTAACGTTGACTTGCCTAACAAGTGAAATGTTAGGCGCCATCACGATCCTGATGGTGGAAATTCCGAGCCGTGACACAACTTCAATATCACTACTTATATTAGCCAAATAGATCAATATAATGAGGGGAGAATAAACTGAAATGTTTGTCTAAATCACAAAAGCCTGAAATGTTTGTCTAAATCACAAAAGTTTACTCATTCGCTAGCCTTAATAGGAAACAATCTTAGGATATCAAGGAGAGGTTTTTCATTTTACATTATTTTTTCATCCTAAAGATCATATAGTTTAGTATGTTTTTTGTTTTTCTAAGTAAAAGGCTCAACATTAATACAAACTAAATTACTGTACTTGCGTTATAGCTTTTAAATTTAACAAAATGATACTAAATGCTACTTCAAGTAAATAAAAAATGATGAATACAGAGATGACGAAGCACATGAACTCGCAAACTCGATTTGCCATTAGGCGTACCTTTAATATTAAGACATTTCTCTCTTTCCCGATGAAAATCTGTTAAAGTTGCATTTCCTCTCTTTTCTTCTAGATTACAATAAATGAGATTTTCATTCCAATGTACCAATATCAAAATTAACTTCAAGAAAATGACATATAGAATGTAGGCAGTTAAAATAGGTTTGATCTAAATTCATAGACAACAATACTTGTTGCTAATGTTGAGTAAGTTACGCCTTTATGTCCTCAATTATAGAGTTGCTCTATGCACTATTTTTACAACAAAGATGACATATACCCCTTAGTAGTTAGTTTGTTCATCACTAAAGAATTAAAACATCTTACACAACAACAAAATTATCCTCTAAGTAAAAGAAAGACAAAGGCACAAAAATATGGGAATCACTTCATTGGTAAAAGGTGTCATATCCAATATTGCATTCAGCCTCTTTTCAGCGTATGTAAGTTTAAGCAGTCGAAGCACCGAAAGAATTCTTTTCAGCGTATGTAAGTTTAAGCAGTCGAAGCACCGAAAGAATTCTTTTCAGCGTATGTAAGTTTAAGCAGTCGAAGCACCGAAAGAATGCAAGATACATGGAGTTTAGTGAAAACAACTATCTAGAATGAAGCACATATGGTGACGTCGTTGAAACTTCGGTGACATAATGAGAAAATATTTAAGCTGCAAATAATTGAACAAAATTGAAATTGTAGCTTCACTATTGATCTGCTTTCCTTCATTAACTTTTAGTTTGACAAAATGCTTTATATTTTTACCTTGTAAAGTGAAAAATACACAATTGAGAAACACTTATTGGACCATGAAGCTGTGAAATCAGAACAGTGAGTTTCCATCTCTCATTATGTGTGCCACTTATTATGAATAGAGCTAAAATTTAATTTAAATTCAAGAAAATGGATGTAAAAAAAAACAATTAAGAACTGAAGCCAATAATCAACACATTCATAGAAAAATTCTAACATAATAAGTTAATTTATTACAATTCCACAGAATTGTTATCATCCTTTTTGATCAAATGGAAGGAAAAACAAAAAGAGAAAGAAAAAGTTAAACTTATAGTCCAAAACTCCAGAATCTAAGGTTTGCAGCTTAACCTTTTTATTTAAATTTACAACCCATCCAAAAGATACACCACCCAACAATTAATCGGAGCATTTGATATCTGATGAACCAAGTAACTGATATAAATTCTAAAATCAAAATCACACATGACAAAAAAGCTAGGGTAAACATACTCTGTATACATTATAACAAAATAACATACCTCCCTTACAATTATTTAAAACAACCTTGTCATTTGACTCAATTTCAGTAATGAGCTTCTTCAAGAAAATTTCCAATAAAACCATGCTTCACACCTTGCACCATTGAGAAGAGCAGTACATTTCATGTTACTTTTTTACAATTAGTTAATGCAGTGTTAGTACACCTTGTTCATGTATATACATAAAAAAAATATTCCCTTTTTGTTGGTTTTTGACAACCTAGGTATAATATTTACTTATATACTTCTTATATATATGTTGAAAAGGAAAGATGGTCAATCACGGGCAAAATTGTCATTTCACTCAAAGGAAAAAATACCTCTATGTAACTCCATCTTTTCCGACCTTTATGGGTCTAGAAACATCCACTCTTTCAACTTCCATCTCTTCTATTCCAACATATCCCTTCTTCAAACTTTGAACAATAGCTCTTTTCAATTTCTTATTTATTTATTACACTTCAGGTATCATTCTCTCAATTTTTGCTCACATCTCTTTCTTTCTTAGTTTCTTTTAAATCAGTTTAACTGTTTCCAATTTCAAGGATGAATTTTCTTGAATTTCGTTTTTTCCAACTAGATACTGCGGAATCACTCTTTTAATGGTTATTCTCCGTCCAATTTCATTGTTGTTGTCTTCTTCTTACTGATTCACCTCTATCTCTTCTTCTTAAGGTATTGACATTTATTATTCTGCTAACTTAAAAACAAAAGGGATATTTAGTTTTACTCCTAAATATCGATTTCGGTATTGATTTGGTATCGGGCACTCAGCCCATTTCTATTTCACCTTATCGTATGACACCGGAGGAGTTAAAGAAGTTGAAAGAGCAACTTCAGGAACTCCTTGATAAGGGGTTCATTGGTAGCCCAATATGGATGTGTGTTCTACATCGAGTCGGCCTTGTTGATTCGGAATTGCTATTGTTGAGGGATGTGTCATTCGATTGTCGTTGAGCTTATTCGTGTTCTAAAGTGATCTATGAGTTACCTTTCCGTGTTGCGATTCGTTGATTTTATGCACAAGTGATATGGTTCTACTTGGTCTTTATAGCAGAATTTGAATGAGACGGGTATTTGGGTGTTGCATGATTGATTGTGCATTGGATATGTTTTTTCGGATTGGTATGGCATTGAGTCATTTGTTTCTCCGTGGTTATGATGATTCACTTTTGGTACTAGGTATCAAATTGCACGTGGTAATTGATTTTGAGCATGGTGACGTGAGGTGTTTCATGTGGACCAGCATTTGGATAGGGTCGTGCATTGCCGCAAAGTTAGGTGGAGGTATGATCCTTCAGATTAGATTTGTGTGTTCTGGTTATACGATGTGTGGTGGGTTCTTAGCATCGTGTTGTGATGGCACTGATGAGCTTGCGGTACAACTCTCACATTTGAGTTATTTTCCATGATTTGAGTATATTTGGGTTGTTGCTTATTGGTGCGCGGATTGCACGGGTCGCGGAGTTAGATTATATTGATGTGTCATGTCACTAGAGCAGTCATGTTGGTTGAGATGAGGGCATTGGGATCTAGAATAAACACTATCGGATTCGGTCTCAGCATGTTGGAAGGATAATATCGGGATTCGGGTTAGAAATTTACTACAGTCCTTGCAGAAGGATAGGGAACTCCATGACTGGTTGATTTGAGGAATGGTTATGGTTTCTATGTGTTTCTTTCCTCATTGGTAGTATATGAAAGTGTTGGAGTAGAGTTTATTTCATAAAAGGTTTATTACCAGAATTGGGTTGTTTGGGCAGCTGCTGTGATTAGAAGTTATCGCTATGAGTGTTTGAGTTGTGTGGTATATCATGTGATTTCCATCTTGAATTATGGTTCTGGCTTGATACAGTGTGTTCAGACTTATTTAGTGTGTAGATGTGAGATTCTGATCTTATGGATAATTTCAGAAGTGAAAATTTGGTTCTAAGGCTAATGGGCTAGGTTGGATTGTGAAATTTCAGTTATGTTGTGCTATCGGTCATATATGGGATGGGGTGACGTGGGATCACCCCCGGGTATGTGCGTGGTAAGGGTACACAACGATTTGGTGGTTTTCGGAACAACTCTGGGCACGTTCGAGGACGAATGTATGCTTAAGTGTGGAATGGTGTAACAACCCGACCGGTCATTTTGGGCATTTGCACTTCGCTCGCTAGTTCTCGGGCATGACTAGCCCCGTATGATGTATTATGACTTATGTAAATCGTCGGTTTTGGTTTTCAGGTTAATCGGAACAGATATGGAATAACGATTCTCGGCTTGAAGTTTTAAATTTGAAAGCTTTGACCAAGTTTTGACTTTTTAGTATTCGATCACGAATTTGGATTATGATGTTTCGGATAGCTCTGTTAGGTGATTTTGGACTTAGGAGAGTGTTCTGAATGTAATTTGGAGGTCCGTGGTAGAATTAGGCTTGAATTGGCGAAATTGGAAATTTGGAGTTTTTGGTTGGTAGTGGAAATCTTGATATAGGGGTCGAAATGGAATTTCGGAAGTTGGAGTAGGTTCGTAGTGTCATTTGTGAAGTGTGTGCAAAATTTCAGGTCATTCGGACGAGGTTTGATAGGTTTCGATGTTGTTTGTGGAATTTGGAAATTTAGATGTTCTTAAGCTTGAATCCAAGGTTGATTTGGTGTTTTGATGTTGTTTTGAGTGATTTGGAGGTTCGACTAAGTTTGAATGATGTTATGGGATGTGTTGGCATGTTTGGTTGAGGTCTCGAGGACCTCGGGTGTGTTTCGGATGCTCAACGGGTCATTTTTGGACTTAAGGAGTTTGCTGTTTTGTTGGTGTTCTGCAGCCAGTGTGTTCTTCATCGCGATCGCGGGAGGAGGTTCGCGATCGCGTAGGGCAAATGGGAGGCCAGCTGGGTTAATTCTTCACGATCGCAGAGAATGGGACGCGATCGCATAGGTCAGTCAGGTTGTGCAACACGAACGCGTAGGCCAGGCCGTGTTCGCATAGAAGAAATAAGGCAGCAGAGGAAAGTTGACGTTACCCTTCGCATTCGCGCGGGGTCAATCGCGATCGCGTAAGTCAGAGGAACCCCTACATCGCGTTCGCGTGTGGAGTAACGCGGTCGCATAGAGGAAAATGTTGAGGCGACAAAGTTCTTCTTCGCGATTGCGAGGGTGTTTCTGCGATCGCGATTAAGGAAATGTTTGGGCAGAATGTTTAAGTTTAAAAAATGAGGGTTTTGGTCCATAATTTCAAAATTCATTAGAGAGCTCGGGAGAAGGCAATTTTGGAGGGGGTTTTCAGAGGAGTGATTGGGGTAAGTGTTCTTCACTCAAATTTGGTTAAATCCCATGATTATGTCTTGATTTTTATCATTTACTTTGGGAATTTGGGGTGAAAATTGGGAAAAATGGAAGAAAATTTAGAGAGTTGATTTTGGGGATTTGGATGGCCATTTGATATCGGATTTTGGTAAATTTGATATGGGTAGATTCGTGAGCGAATGGGTTTTCCATTTTTGTGATTTTATCGGATTATGAGACGTGAGCCCGGGGGTCGGGTTTGACCAATTTCGGGATTTTCGAGTTAATTTGATTATTTTTGCTTGGCTTTGTTCCTTTAGCGTGTATTGATGTACGATCAGATTCGATAGATTCGGGGCGATTTGAGTCCGATTCGAGAGGCAAGGGTATCGCGGGTTAGAGTTTTGTCGTTTCACTACTTTGTTGTGACGCACACACTAGATGACGAGCGTGGGGGCATGCACCGTTGGGGATTGTGACTTGGTCCGTCCTGTATGACTATTAAGTCTCATATTTGACTGGAAATTTTATTTGATACTATTATGCTTTGGAAAGTTTTACTATGTTTTTGGTTGAATGCCATATTTAGGCCTCGTGCCAAGCTGTTTGGACCCTTAGGGATTTTTACTACTACTCCTCATTGTTTTGATTTAATATCTGTACTCAGTCATGCTATATTTTTACTGATTTCATAACTCAGTCTTATTTACTCTGTTTGTTATATAAAATGATATTTTGGGCTGAGCACCCTTTTCACTGTTAGCCTGAGTGGCTTGAGAGATTTCTGACTGAGTAAGGCCGAGGGCCTGTGTTGTGAGGATATTATGGGATCGGGGTACACGCCGCAGCAGGTTGTTACTGATTCATGATATTGTGAGGCCAAGGGCCTGATTGATTTATGCGACTAGGTGGCTTGTTGTTATGTGAGGCCGAGGGCCTGATGTATTATGCCACGAAATAGCTTGTTATAGAGCTAGGGTTGTAGGAGCCCCTCCGGAGTCTGTACACCTCTAGTGAGCGCGGGTACCCAGAGTGAGTGATATGATGTATGCCCTAGGGGCTGATCTTGATTTATGTTATGCCCGAGGGGATGATTACGAGTGACTGTGAGGTAGCCCGAGGGGGCTAGTTCTGATTGATGTTATGCCCGAGGGGCGGTTTATGATACATGTCTTGCCCGAGGGCTGATCTTGATTTATGTTGTCCGAGGGCTGTATAAGAGTGAGTTTTGCACGAGAGACTGATTATTTTTTCACTATTTTTGCTCACTATTTTATCACTTTGTTTGAGAAATTGTTGAAAGACATTTTCAAAGGATTTTCACTGAAATTAGGTTTTTAACGAGATGATTTGATTTATATACTATTTTGGAAACATACTGTACTTACTGTGGTGTTATAATGCTGATTATGTATTTTCTTACGGCTCAGTCTCTATTTACTTTTATTACTTACTGAGTTGGCGTACTCACATTACTCTCTGCATCATGTGTGCATATCCAGGAGTTGCGTGTCTCGATAGCGAGCGCTGATCGTTATTCCAGTAGGGCTTCGGAGTCAGCAAGGTAGCTGCTTGGCATTCGCAGCCATGCACTTCTCCTTCTTACCTTACTCAGACTGTTTTTAGTATCTCTATTTCCGAACTATGATAGCCTTGTCGTACTTAAACAGACCTTGTAGTTGCTCGTGACTTGTGACACCCTGATGTCGGGCTTGTGTTATTTTTCTTCCGCACTGGTTATTGAGACCCATGTTATGAGATATTGCCAATTTAATAGCTTAAAAGTATCTTTTATGAATTAATAGTTTGATTTGGGATTTGTGTCGGCTAGCCTAGTTTCACGGTATGCGCCATCTTCACCGGGTTGATTTTGGGGTTGTGACATTAGTGTTCCCTTTTATTTCACCAACTAGAAAGCAAGAAAAGAAGTATGCTCTTTTCTTTTTTTGGTAACTAACTTTTTATTAATCACCAGTAATAAACTTTACAAAGAGCCGTATTTAGCTAACTCAGCTAACTATCATATTTACAATCTCATTCTCTTCCTAGACTTCTATTTAGAATCTATATCTATGGAGCATTTCAGCTATTCTAGGAGGAGCTCGCATACATCATACACATTAATCTCCTTTGCTATTCTTTCCCATCCTACACTTGTCTTCTCAAAAATCTTTTTGTTTCTGTCTAGACATATGTAGTGTACTATCTCTGTATATAGCATCTTGAAGAGTTGAGCTTCTCTTGATTTTCCTTTGGCTCTTCTGATCACTTCCTGTACAAGTTGTTCCTAGTTCCCTGCTGTTATGTTTTGATTATGTGTCCATTGTAATATCTTGTTCATCACTGCCTTCATCTAATCACACTCCACAAATAAATAATTCCTAGACTCTTCTGCTTTGTGACATAGGTTACATTCAATCTTCATACCCTATTTTTTCAGCCTATCTGATGTTAGAAGTCTGTTCTGCATTTGCAAACAAAGAGTGAATCTAGCTTTTGGTCTTCCAGCATTTCCAAACATCAAACATTTCCATGGGATTCTAGGTTGTTCTCCCAGCAAATGAAGATAAATTTGTTTAATAACACTTTTGCCTGTGTAGATATTTATACTTCCCTGCTCTAGAATATTCTTTACCTCCATAATTTTCTTCACCATCCAACTTGCTTGTTTTGGCACTACTACATACTCCAGCTGCTGTCCTTTTATGTAGTATGTGTGAATCCACCGTATCCACATCTTGTCTTTTTGCTTGACAGATCCCAGAATAATTTTATTATAGCAGCCTTATTCCATAGTCTTACGTTTATCAAATTTCATCCTCCACTACTTTTTTGGTGAGCATACTCTATCCCAATTGATCAATGCTTTCTTTGTTATTACATTGTTGCCAGTCCATAAGTAGCTCCTGCAGAATCCTTCCAATGCTTTCATCACCTTTGTTGGTAGTATAAACAATTGTTCCTAGTAAAATTGAACTCCAAATAACACACTGCTTATCAGTTGAGCTCTACCTGCATATGATAGTTTTTTTGTTGTCCATGTTGTGATTCTTGCCACTATCTTCTCAATGAGGGGTTGCCACTGCATTATTGTCAGCTTCTTGGTAGATAAAGTCACTCCCAAATACTTGAATGGTAGTAATACTTTTGTGAATCCTAGTTTCCTCAGTATCAGTTCTTGATCAATTTGTGATACACCTCCAAAATAAATGGAGCTCTTTCCTAAATTTGCTTGCAAACCTGAAGCCTGTGAGAACTGGTTGAAGTTGTGTTGTACTTCTGTTACTGATGAAATATATTATTTGAAATATGCTCATCGGAGAGATTGACGAGGATGTCACACACTGTATAAGGTGGGGTGGATGAAGTGGAGGTTAGCATCGGGAGTCCTGTGTGATAAGAAAGTTCCACCGTTACTAAAAGGTAAGTTTTATAGAGCAGTGGTTAGGCCTGCCATGTTATATAAGACTGAGTGTTGGCCAGTTAAGAACGCACACATCCAGAAGATGAAAGTAGCAGAGATGAGGATGTTGAGGTGGATGTGCGGGCATATAAAGATGGATAAGATTAGGAATGAAGAAATTTGAGAGAAGGTGGGTGTGGCCCCCATGGAGGACAAGATGCGGGAAGCAAGACTCCGATGGTTCGGGCACATTCACAGGAGGAGAACTGATACACCGGTGAGGAGGTGTGAGCATCTGGCTGTGGTGGGTATGAGGATAGGTAGAGGGCGACCTAAAAAGAATTGGGGAGAGGTGATCAGGAAGGACATAGCGTGACTTAGAATTGCAGAGGACATGGCCCTTGACAGGGAATTGTGGAGGTCGAGCATTAAGGTTGTAGGCTAGGAGGAAGTTGTGAATATTTCTATAGCGCACTAGAGTAAGATTATCCAGTTAGGAGTTAGTTTTAGGATTCTAGTGGTCATCTACTGATGCAGGCTTTAGTTGCTGGTTATTATTATACCTTCCATCTATTTCGTATTTCTTATATTGCTATTATTTTATTGTGATTTTATTGATGGTACTAATATATCATCTTTTGTTTCTTTCTTGAGCCGAGGGTCTCCTGGAAACAACCTCTCTGCCATTCGGGGTAGGGGTATGGTCTGCGTATATATTATCCACCCCAAACCCCACTTGTGGGATTATACTGGGTCATTGTTGTTGTTGTTGTTGTTGTTGTTGTTGTTGTTGTTGTTGTTGTTGTTGTTGTTGTTGTTGTTGTTGTTGTTGTTGCTCTTCTCATAAAATAATCATTTTAACTTAGAGATGTAAGAAAAATGAGTAGATAATATTGGCTAAGAACAAAAAGGAAAGAAAACTACAACTTATCAAAAATAATATGTCGTAGCAAGCCACTGCCTTGAAAGTGATTTCGACCAAACTGGGTGCAAATTGTTAAGACCGGTCGCTCCCCGACGTTGCACAACACCTCCAAACGCGTGTACTCATGGCTGAAAGTTTAGAATTTGCACAAAACAGTTGCCTAGAAAGATGAGAAGATGAAGGTTTTTTCTGTAGTTGTTACAGAAATTAAAAATGTTGTAGGAAGAAAGTAATGATTAGCAAGATGAATTCTTGGTTAAGAATTGAGTGAATATGATGGCTAATGACCAACATATTTATAGGCAATTAGGGAGGTTGCTTGTATGACAAGTGTGGAGAGCCTTTTAACACTTGTCCAAATATATTAATCCACTTGGTTTTAATATTAACAAGTGTACCTAGTGTTCCATACATGAAGACACATGGGAAATTTGCATAACCACTTGTCAAAGCCATTCAACACTTGGCTTTAAGGCTTCATACAAGAAGCCAGTTAGAAATAGATAGAAAACTTGAAAAATAGAAAGACCCATGGTTATTGGTTGTAAAAGGATTTCAAAAAGAAAATTTTGACTTTGCATTGTAAATAATACCAACAATCCCCCACTAATGCAAAGACAAAAATAGAACAATGCTGGGCAAAAGAAGGAACATGTACTTAAGTGTCAATATCTTTCGATTTGAATTGACACGTAATGAAATGAGGCAACAACTAACATCCACAAAGTAAAGTACTATTGAACTGAATGGACATTAGTTGAGAACCCCACATCACATACTATATCCTTAATTTTATGCAAACTCTGCGATACTAACAAAGTGCTTTTATGGTCATGCACATACCTTGGGTCTCATGAGTGCTCTTAGAAAGACATCCCAAGTCTTTCATAAAAGGCGACCGCACCTTTACACTCATGTAGGTGATTTCATCAAGTCTATCTACACATAGACTACCTTAAGGCTATGAAATCATTAAGAGCAAAGTAAGTTCAACCTTATAAAGCACTACCACACGCCATGGGGATAGGAAATGTAATGCATATTGAGGATTCACATGGCTTCGTTTGACTACAAACGGGTATCCACCATACTTCCTCAATCCATGGGCTTTAGCCCCATCCTCCTCGAAGTTTCAAGGATAACTTTCCTTGCCAAACCCTTGGTTAAAGGATCTGCCAAATTTCTTTTAGATCTTACATATTCCAAAGAAATAACACCATGTTTCAACAATTGTTTTACCACGCCATGCCTAATGCGGATATGTCTTTTTTTCCATTGTACACACTATTTTTGGCAATTTCAATTGTCGCATGTGAGTCACAATGTAGAGAAACTGGTGAAGCTTGTCTTCCCCACAAAGGCACGTCTGCCAATAAGTTTCTCAACCACTCGGTTTCTTGCCCTGCCAACTCAAGAGCATTGAATTCAGACTCAGTAGTAGATCATGCTAACAAGTCTGTTTTGAAGACTTCCATGAAATAGCACTTGCACCCAAAGTAAATACATAAACACTAGTGGAGCTAACTTCATCATTGTCAGTAACCCAGTTTGCATCACAAAATCCTTCTAAAACAGAAGGAAATTTATTAAAATGCAAACACCAATCCATAGTACCTCTCAAATACCTTAGCAAATGATGAAGAGCAATCAAGTGTTCACTACTAGGGTTGTGAGTATATATACTCAATCTACTAACAGCATAAGCAATATCAGGTCGTGTATAATTCATGAGAAATATTACTCTACCAATTATCTTAGCATACTCAGTTTGAGAAACACTAGATTCCTTATTCTTTTTCAAAATTCTTTTTGAGAAATTCTTTTTCAGTGTATGCTAGAATCATAAGGAGTTCTCACAGGTGCTACATCAAAATAATTGAACCTTTTCAACATTTTCTCAATATAATGAGACTAATACAATGAAAACCATCAGAAGTTCTTTTGATTTTAACCCCTAAAATCACATCTGCTTCTCCAAGATCTTTCATTTCAAATTTAGAAGACAAAAAATTCTTAGTCTCATTAATGACATTCACATTAGGGCCAAAAATTAATGTCATCCACATACAAACATATAATAACACAATTTGATCCTATCATCTTGGAATAAACACAAGTATCAGATGCATTAACAACAAAACCATTAACCACTAGTGTGCTATTAAATTTTTTGTACCATTGCTTAGGTGTCTACTTTAGACCATACAAAGACTTTCTCAATTTGCATACTTTATTCTCCCGTCCTTGAATCACAAATCCCTCAGGTTGAGACATATAGATCTCTTCCTTTAAATAACCATTTAGGAACATCCATTTTATGTATCACTAAATTATGAATAGCGTCTAAAGCAACAAGAGTTCTAATAGTCGCTATCTTAGTCACAGGAGAATAAGTGTCAAAGTAATCAATGTCTTTGTTTTGGTTAAACCCCTAATAACAAGTCTGACCTTATATTTCTCAATTGTATCGTCAGGTCTCAATTTATTCTTAAATATTCACTTGCTACTTATAGGTTTACAACCTTTAGGCAAATCAGACAAGTTCCAAGTATGATTAGAAACTATAGAGTCTAATTCGCTTTTAATGGTCTCTTTCCAAAAACTAGCATCTATTGACATAATTGTTTCACTGTATATCTTAGGGTCTTCTTCTGTTAAATAGATTGATACTAATTCATCACTCAAAACATCAAGATCAATATTTTAAGTCAAGAAAGTAGTAATAAAGTCAGGACCAAAGCTAGCTTCAATTTTACGCCTATTACTTCTTCTAAGTTCATTTTCATGCTCATTAGCAGTAACACTAGAAGAAGGCACAATATGAGAATTAACAGACATAGATATAGAAGCATTATTAGGCACAACACTAGGCACATTATTTTTCAATGGAAAAACATGCTCAAAAAATTCTGCATCTCAAGATTCACAAATAGAACTATCATTCAAAGACATAAATCTATATGCAACATTGTTTTGAGCATAACCAATGAAAATAGCATCAAAAGTCTTAGGTCCAACAGTTACTTATTTAAAATCAGGTAGATCAACCTTAGCCAAACATCCCCATACTTTCAGAATTTTCAAGTTAGGGGTAAACCCTTTCCATAACTCATACAGGGTTTTATATAACTTCTTATGAGGGACTTTATTACGAACATAACATGCATATAAAATAGTTTTCCCCCCACATATTATCAGATAAACTTGAACTCAAAAGCATAAAATTCATCATTTCCTTAAGGGTTCCATTTTTCCGTTCGGCTACACCATTTTGTTGGGGAGTATAGGGAGAACTAACCTCATGTATAATACAATTTTTATCAGAAAAGGCTTATAGAGTATTAGTACTATATTCATCACCTTTGTCAGACCTAAGCCTCTTGATTTTTTCTGTTTAATTGATTCTCTACTTCTGCATGTATTTCAAAAACATGCTTTCAGCCTCATCTTTTGACTTAAGAATATATACCTTAGTATATCTAGAAAAGTCATCTACAAATGTGATGTAGTATTTCTTTCCACCCTTACTGACATTGTTCTTAAAATCTGCTAAGTCTGAATGTACTAGTTCAAGCAATTCTGTTTTTCTACTAGTTACATTTTTAAAAGGCTTTTTGGTATGTTTTGCTTCTACACAAACATGACACTTAGAAAAATTATCAACATTAATTGCAGGAATTAATTCTATTTTTCTAAGTCTTTTAATAGAAGCAATATTAACATGACCTAGTCTACCATGCCACAAATTAATAGACTCAGCAATATAAGCAGAATTAAAAGTACTAGCATTATTAGTAATCTATTGAGCGATGTTCAGTACAAATAAACCCCCACTAAGGTAACCCTTCCAAAAAAAGTCTTCTCCATGAGAAATAACAACTTTATCAGATTCAAAAATAAGTTTAAGACCTGCTTTATTGAGAAGCGCACCAGAAACTAAGTTTATACGAAGGGAGGGTACATACAGAACATTTTTCAAGGCTAAGGTTTTTCCAAAAGTTAACGGAAGGAGAATTTTACCTTTACCCATAACTCTAGCTGTAGTGGAGTTACCCATGTAGACACGCTCGCCATCAGCAGATTCCTCAAAGTCATGAAAAAACTTCTTGTTGGCGCAATGGTGCGTTGAAGTGCCTGTGTCCAGTATCCAATCAGTCTTGTTAGTCACCATGTTCACCTCAACAACCACAACAGCAATGACATCATCACCCTCAGTAAAGTTAGCTTGGACTGGAGATTTTCCTCCATTCTTTAAGCTTTGTACTTGTATCTGGTTGCACTGAAAAGCCTTGTGACCAATTTTGCCACAGACATAGCAAGGTCCTTTCGACTTTTGAATATGGCCCTCTGGCTTATTGAAGTAATCCTGCTTCTTCACATGTCCTTTCTTCTGGCCTTTCTTCTGTTTTCCTTTAAACCTGTCTTTCACAAACGTACTAGAAGATTGTTAGCTTTGGAAGAATTAAGAGAGAGAGGGGTTTCATCTTATCCTTAAGCCGTTCAGACTCCTCATCTTTGAGACGGTTTGCTTCCTCAGTCCTCATGTGACTGATCAGTTCTTGAAGAGTTAAGTTTTTCTTCTTGTGTTTTAGTTGATTCCTATAATCACTCTAGGAAGGTGGAAACTTTTCAAGCAGAACATTAGCCTGAAAAATCTCACACATATACATGCCCTCGTTCAAAACATCAGCAGTCAAGTTCTCATACTCGTGAACCTGTTCCATGATTGTCTTATCATCAACCATCTGAAACTTGATCCACTTTCCAACGGCATACTTCTTTTTTCCCGCGTCATCAACACCATATTTCTTCTCCAAACTGTCTCATATGATTTTAGCAGATATAAAATTTATAAACAAATCAAAAAGAGGGTTAGTCATATGGTTAAGAAGATGCCCTCTCACTGTTTTATTATCATTTTCAAATTTCATCTTAGCAGCATCATCAGCAACAACAATATTAGCAGTATTAGAACTACCAGCAACAACATCAGCAGGAGGATCATTAAATAAAACATAATCAACTTCTAATTGTTCAAAGAAAATAAAAGTTTCTAGGACCAACGCTAATAACTGTTTCCATCTAAAGGCTCAAGCTTTGAGAGATCAGGAAGTGTTTTGTTCAAAATGGTGGCCATTAGTCAATATTATATGTAAAATCGCTTTCAAATTGTAAGGAAAATGAGTAGATAATATTAACTAAGAACAAAAAAGATAGAAAACTACAACTTATCAAAAATATTGTGTCATAGCAATGTCACGACCCCAATCCCCGGTCGTGATGGCGCCCAACACGATTCTAGGCAAGCCCGACCAATTCGTCACTCACAATCCCTTATGTAGAATTTATTACCAATTAATAGGATTTAATGCCAANACATATAATATACTACTATGGAGTGCAGTCCGATCCATATAATATACTACTACTGCGTGTAGTCCGATCAGCATAAATATATATATTGCTGCGGCGTGCACACTAAGATACCCTCACCATGGGGTTCTCGACCCCTCTCAGTCAATATAGACTTGGCCTCTCGGGCACACTAAGATAAGACGGGGTTCTCAACCCACACGTTACNGTACGGAAAATCCATAAAATATCAATATAAATCCCATCGATCTGGTGCCACGAGCCAAGAGCCTCTAATACAAGTCTGTGTAGCAACCTATACATAGAGTTGTCTAGAATGCGGAAAATAAAGAGGATAAGGGGAGAAATCGGGTCCTGCAGACGCCATGCAGCTACCTTGATGACTCCGAAATAAGCTGAACAGCAGCAGAAAGCTCAAACTATGCCTCCGGGATACCTGTATCTGCACACAGAGTGCAGGGAGTAAAGTGAGTACTCCAACTCAGTGAGTAATAGCAATAAATAATGACCGACAGAAAGAAAACTCGTAAAACACTACGCAGTTCTATATTAAAACAGTGAGAATATCAAAAACAGC